TTTAATTATTGTAAACTCTTACATCTATCAACTATAGTGGTGATCAAACAAATTTTTCCTATTCATACAAATGAATGGGAAGAATGATGACTAGACAGTTTTTAAACTCCAGTCTTATTATCCAGATGGTGCTACATAATTGGCTTTTAGCTGAATTCTACTTAGATTTTGTAGGCTGCAGAGCAGGCAGGCCCTTTTGACAAAAACCAACTGGTTGCTAGAATTTTATACTGTAGAAAGTCAGATACATTTCACTTCTAAAAGGAGCACATTTCACCTTATTTTAAAACTGGCAAAGCTTCAGCAACAGTCATAAATCTATAAGCTGAATACAGGTCTGGGAAATGCGATGTTGGATAGCAAACTTAGCCCTATGTTGGAGAACTTCTAAACATTCATTTGAGGTTGTATAAATTCATCATAAGGCTATATTTCTTAATAGGTTTCACGTGAATATATTCCCATTATGGTTCATCATATTTAATATTCATATTTAAGACATCATATTGGTCTTCCTTTTCTTGTTGCTGTCCCAATATAGAAGCTCTAATTCCTCCTAGATTTCCAAGTCAGTATAATCAAAGTTACCCAACAATGCAGAAGATTATTATCTAGGAACATCACTCCAGAGATGTAAGCTACTAGCACTTATTATTTTATCATTTGTATTAAAATATTAATGCAATTATAATACTACATTGTACTTCATATCACAAGGGTCATAATCATTTATAAAAGTAAAAAGTATTCTAATAAGATTGAGGCTCTTTGGATACATGATATTTAAAAATGCCTTAAGATACTTACAAGAAGGTTAATTTGCTCAAATGTAATTCTGCCCCTCATATCCCAGGTGAACTGGAGAGCATTTGTGCAAAATGGTGCAATGTAAAATAGAAGTTTTAGACATCTTTTTTTCTTCTTCAAGTATGTACAAATACAGGTAATTTTGAAAGAAAGGGGTCATAATCAAGTTTTCTCAGTGATGGAACTGCATATGTGGTTGAAGGTCAGAAGATAATCCTACTGTGGGCTTTCAACTCTTCTCCAATGGCTAAACTCAGAGTCCCCTATGTGTGAATCGGGCTGCTATATAAATTTGTTTAATAAACAAAGAACCTTCCTGGAACAAATTTGATCTATAGAGGAACTATGCAATGGAGGCAGAGAAATTTTCATTTCAAGGAGAATATTTGTGGCTCAGGGTTGAAATGTGGGGTCCTTGGTGCTTTCTCAACTTCATTGTTTTCTTGAAAATATTTTATTACCCAAACCAGGTAGCATCATCAGTGCTAATGATCACTGTATTCCATGTATAGTTTTACTAAGGCTTTATAAAGTGGTATTACTAATACGTCACATGTGATCTTGATTCTATCCCTTTGTTAATATAACCTAGGATTGTATCGGCTTTTTTTCCTGCCACACACAATTGGTTCATATTTACATCATTGTCCCCTAGGACAGCAAGATTCCTCCCACAATTATTGCTATTTAGCCAGGTTTCAGCTAAGCTATACCTGTACATTTGGTTTTTCTTGCCTAGGTGTAAACCTTACTTTTTTCTACATTGAATTTCATTTTGTTAGATAGGGCCCAATGCTCAAGTCTGTTCTAGATCTTGAGACTATTTTCTAGGTATTAGCTATTTCTGCCAATCTAGTGTCATCTGCAAGTTTAGTGTTATCTGAAAATTTGATGTTCTCCTTCTATTCATTCATCTAAATTGTTTATGAAGTTGAAGAGTACTAGGCCTAAAGTGGAAATTTGAGATGCCCCACTGCTTACTTCCCTTCGTGTGGCTGTAGTTCCATTAAGGACTAAATTTTGAGTGTAGTTTGTCAGACAGTTACAAATTCATCTCATGGTGGTGCTGTCTATCATTTTTTCTAGTTTATGAAGAAGTGCACTGTAGTCTACTTTGTCAAATGCCTTACTGAAATCCAAGTATACTATCTCCATAGCATTTTGCTTGTCCACTAATTTAATCACATTGTCAAAGAATGAAATAAGATTTGTTTTTGACAAATCCATATTGGCTTCTGGTTATAACTTTGCTTGCTTCTAGGTGTTTGCAGATCTGCTGCTTGATGATCTGATCCAGGATCTTCCCAGGTATTGATGTCAGGCTCATTGGTCTATAGTTTCCTGGGTCTTTCCCCCCCCATTTTTTAAAGATGGGAAGCTCTTTTCCAGTCCTCAGTACTCCTGGATCTTTGAAAGATATGATACAATGGTTCCAAGATCAGGTCTGCCAGTTCCTTCAGAACTCTGGGATGTAATCCATCAGGTCCCATATTTGAACACATATAGAGTGGACAGGTGTTGTCTTACCATTTTCTTGCTTATTTATATTCCTAGTCTGTCTTTTATGGTTATGTTTTTAGTAGATTAGGCTATATTTTCTTTTTGCATGAAGGTAGATGCAAAGAATACATTCAGCAGCTCTGCTTTCTCTCTACTGACCATTATTTCCTTACCATCTTCTCCTATTAGCGGACAGATTATTTCCTTGACTTCATTCTGAGCCTTACCGTTCCTGACTTCATCTTTGATTCCACCAAAAAAGGCACCAGGTCTTATTTTCGAGGAGGGCAATGTCATCCACTGCACACTTCACCCCTGGCCTCTTTTTCACTGTGAGAGGCCTTCAGGAACGTCTTCATCTGGCAAGGCCAGGAAAGCTTCTCTTTAACCTATAACAGAGCTCCAGATCTATCCAGAGCTCTATTATAGGCTAGAGAGCCGTTCAGGAAAGGCCTTTAGGAAAGGTCTCTGTGACCAATAACAGAGCTCTGGATCAATCCAAAGCTCTGTTATCGATTACAGAGGCCTTCAGGAAAGCCTTGCTGGCAGAAGAAACGGGCCAAGGTGTGTGAGGCCTGGCTGCAACTATCCGAAGGTAAGTAGTAGGGCAGCTCCACCCCCCATCCCCGTCCTAGCTTAATTTTTACCTGTACACCCTGGAATGGGCGGTCTTAATTGGGGCTTATTTTGGAGATAGGGCTTATATTGGGCACAAATGTAAAAATCAAGCCAGGACTTATTTTCTGAGTAGATCATATTTTCGGGGAAACCCGATATTAGTACATGATACAATAAGGTTTTTTTTCAGCCAGTATGTTGCAGAGCTGGATAATGATGAGTAGGACTGTTGCAAAACACTAGTTGGCTTCCATGCCAAGAGAGACCTAGAATCTTAGTTCAGTACCTTAACTACAATAGCACTCTGGCTGTTTCTGAATGGGGTATTAGTTGCAAATTATTTATTAGTGAATAATTATCATACAGCGCCAATTGTTTTACGTGAACTGATATACTTAGCAATAGCTCAGGTGCACTTGATCTTATACTTAAACAGTCCTTGATCTGCACTATGATGTTGATGGCAAGATCTAATTCAGTTTGAAATACATTGTATTGCAATGCCATGAAAGCAAATCCAACTAAATTGAATAAGGAGTAAAAAGAGTCAAGGGTGAGAATAATTTTCCTGAATTTCATTATACAGTAAAGACTTTCTTTTTATCAAAGAAAACATGCAGAACAAGGCACATAGGTTCCAATTCATAACAAGCTTTTGTTTCCCAAGTGTTTCAAAATCAGTAGTATGACTTTTGCACAATGTAATTTATCCATATTGAACTTCACTTTAGCAAAGCAGTTGCATGCATGAAACATATTGCAATTATAGACAAGCTCTATTATGCAATAGGATTTTCTTTTGGAAACTAGAAGAAATCAGTTAAAGTGTAGTTACTATTCCCTATATGATACTGACAACTGACCTTCTATGATGACACTGCCACTGTGGCACTTTGGGACACTGAGAATCTCAGTCTTTTGCTGAAACAAGGAGGAACTCTAACCTGTTTGAGGCATCTGTGAGTCATGCCACAGACTGAACTTGTTTAACTATTTACCCACCCAAGCAGAACGTATAACATTTACAATAAGTAAATACTTACTGTAACATCTGTGAATTACAGCCACAACCCACATCCAAATCCCAGTGCAAATGGGTCTCACCATTTGAGTCATCTCACAATGAGTCATACCTTGCTTTGTTTTCAGAGAGAATAAGGAGGAACCAGGGAATATTGGAGTATAGGCCCCTCCATGTGTTCTGTGACCCATATAAGCAACAACCACCATAATGGGAAGAGAAATTGATTTCATGCATTGCAAGAATTGGTTTGTCTATAGACACATGCAACACTTTATAAGGGACTTTTTTTTTATAAAAAAGTGCAAGTTGTTTAATGAACATTTGTGCCTTGAATATACAAATAGTATGTTCATTATCTACAGATGACTCATTGTTTCTACAAAATAATGTTTGGATTTCTGTTTATTAAAAATAAAAGAAGAAAAGAAATAAGTGATTTGTTTGGCATAAAAAGCTATATTTATAAACTGTGGCTATAGTCAAGTGTCCCTACATTATACATTTTCAGGATACAAATTTACAGTAAGACTATGTTAAAATCATTAAGATGGTATCACATCTGTTTTGAGCACCAGAAAGGTATTTGAAACACCAGTTTTTTTAAATATATCACTCACACAGGGGCTCCTTACCCAGGGCCTCAGAAGGCAGGAAGAAGCAATCAGCAGATGGTTTTTCTGTATCGATTTTGCTGAAAATAATAAAAGTTGCACACAAACACATTCTGCAACTGTTATCCATTCCCAGAGATCTGGCACAGAAGGGATCCCCTTTAGACAATGCCCAACAATTAACAACTAACTGAAAGGAATAGCAGCCAGTGAGATGGAGTGGGCCTAGTCTTGAAATACATTTCAGATGCTGATGTTCTTGCAAACTAGGAGGGCGATGAGTGCAGAACTAGATCTTAATATTAGATGTTCTAACAATCCTATACGCATCTTGTTCAATTCACATTGAAATTCCCAACCCACCCTTCCCGGAAAACAACTGAAAACGGACAATTTTATTTATGTATGTGTCGTGATCATTATTTCTTTTTTAATGTTTGTGCATTGGATTCAAACAGCAAACTGTGTGTACTTCAACTGTTATCACAATGTAGTCAAGAGGTCTGTGTCTTTCATAATTTACACACATTGGTTCATTACAGCATAATATCAGGCTAGTGAAAACCAAGGGTGTGGTATTATAAGCAGTATTGGTAGTGCACCTAGATATTATATTATCTAACTTGAAAATATTTCTAAGATTTCCCCATTTTTTTCCATGATAAAAATAGTTTTCACCAAACGTTGGTGGTGCACACACACTACCAGCCACTCTTCGCACCACACCCCTGACCGTGATTGAAACGCAGGTTCTTGAGATTGTTGATTTAAAAAGTATTACAAAAAATTTCCATACAAAAAACTATTTTCATAGAAATCTTGCATTTCCACAAATAAATCTGAACATTCTTTTCCCTCTTGTTTTTGGATGAGGGAAAAAAAGGCTCAAGAATGTTGCTGCTTTAAACACCATTGATTGTGTTGAGAAATGCAGTCCAGTTTTTAAGTTCTCCACTTTTCCTGCTGGTTAGGTGGCCCATCTACAGCTACTTGTGAGAACAGGCTCCCTTGAGTTCATTTTGAAGCAGGAACAAGAGTTTTCCAGACCCCCTTCAGGGCTACAAATTACACTCTTCTGCTATATCAAATGTATACTTTGCTTCACAGTTAAACAATGACAGAATTGCTTATAGTTAGGCATCATAAGGAACATCATCTTTAAGAAAAGAAACTGAGGGAAAACTTTTTTTTTCTTATTTAAAATATGGCCCACCTCCTTTGGGTTCTCTCCAAGCTCCAACACAGATGAATGTGATTTTCTATTGGCATAGGTTTTTATCTTTATTTAGGTGAATGACACAGCGAGAGAAACAAAAATTGCAAGTAATACTTCTGTTTTCATTCTTCTATTTATGGTTTCCTTTTTCATGACTTTCCCTCCGAATTAGCTCCTATCAGCTGGCAGGTCCATATTCACTTTGGTCAGCAATTACAAGATCTTCTATGCCCAAGAGTACAAAACAGAGTTAGGGTTTTTTTCCCTCCTGTGAATAGAGTTTTGAGCTATTATTTTTCAGAAACTCCTCTGGTACAGTAGTTACTTTCTTGAAGCTGTTTGATTGCTTCTCCAGTCCCTGGCAAATGATGCACTTCAAAAAGAAACCTGCCATTTCTCACTGCAACTCCAGAAAATTCCCATAGAACTTTTGCTTGTTACAGAAAGGTGGACCCCATGACAAACGGTGGAATGCCAACACCCCAACCCCTCCCTCCCCTGACAAATACGGTTGCTCTGTGATGCTTGTGATTCGAGTCTGGCCTTTGCAACTGCTTAGATCTCAGAGTCTCTAGTTCATAGACACAGCGGCATGAGGTAACTCATTTTATTTTGCACAGGTTGCATATTTCCACAGGAAACATTCTCGCAAACGTTGGTTGGGGGGGGGGAGGAAAGGAAAGGGGAAAAAAAAACAACAGTTTGTGCTTGGGGTTGGGTGGTGTCCCAGCTCTATGCCATAGTTTCTTTTCCTGGCAACCTTCTGTCATTAAATGTGTGCATGTTGATAACCTCTTCTGTCTTCACAATTACAGGAGCCTGTGGTTTGTGTTTTAACCGACGCTGACATTTCAAGGACATTCTCAGCTCCTCTACCATGGCACTACAAAAGGACCTCTATAGGAGAAGTATGGGGGGGAAATAAAAAGAAGAAAATAGAAAATCATAAAATTATTATTGCTGTTATTGCAGTGGCACATAGATTAATTAATCATTTGATGTTATTAATCAAGTCATTTATTTTCAATTTCTAGCTGAAGTTTAGGCAAACCTAGTAAGTGAAAAAGATTGATAAAAAAATCTGCTCCCAAGTCTAATACTTCTTATGGGCAACATTGGAAATTTTGAGTCATTTCTTACCTGGAATTATAAATCTCCTGATTGCTCAGTCCTCCCAATCCTTAAATATATGTTGTGCTTCTGCTAAAATCTCCTAGCAACATTATTATATTTTAAATATGCATCTCATATGGTTAAACTGCCACCAAGCTGTTTGACTTTCTGAAAACATTTTATTTTCTAAGTAGGTTCTAATGATGTACATTACATATAAAGAGTTGATCCCATGTATTGTATATTGCTTGGTGGTTTAATGAGGTGGCGATTGGATGAGTCACAGCTGATAATTGCACACATGGAAAGTGATGTAGCTGAAATGAAAAGATCCTCTTTTGCATCCCGATGAAACACCCTGCGTCAATGATTACTGTTGCAGAAATGGAAACCATCAATAGATATTCGAAAAGTCATCAGCTAATGAACATACATGGTCACAGGTATTCTCAGGATAAACGTGCAGTCAGATACTTAGTTGCTGCTAGCAAAGGCCTTCAGATCATGACATTCTGAATCTTCAAAATAATGCATATTTATTCTGAATAAATGTCTACTTTAAATATTGCTTTTATATTACATGGTACTAACTTAAATTTATAATACTGAATAATCAGATATCAACAAAAGAGACCAAAAAGTTGAAAGCTGTACCCAAGGAAAGTTAAAATAATGACAAAATGAAACAGGTTTTTATATTGCATTCATCTGTTTTAAAATATTTACTTTTCTTTGATATGTACCCTGGAGTTTAGCAATCATTCACTCATGTATAAATTACACCTAGACCAATAAAGGAGAATATTTGTAGTTGAGGTTTGAAAGGGTTGATTGTTTTCTTGCAGATGTTTCAAAGAACACCAATGGCCCCTCCTTACATCTAAAATCAACAGGGACCTTGTCTCAAAGCTGCTTTTTCCTTGAGGAAGAACGTGTTTTGCTTCTCATCCAAGAAGTTCCATCACTTCTTGGATGAGAAATGAAACATCCTCTTCATCAAGGGGGAAAAAAACATAGTCCAGTTGTGTTTTGAAAAAGCAGCTTTGAAACAACTATGACCTGGATGATCCGAGAATCTCCATAGACAACAGGAACTTTATTGTCATTCTCACCAAGGGAGTAACAAGAAAAGTGGAAACCAAATGGTTTAAGAGCATTATGCTCAGCATACTTTCAGGTGTACACTATTTAAAACACTTTTATAATACAATCAGAAGCAATTGACACCTAAATTATTCCCTTGCGTTGCAAATCAAAAGAAATAAAACCGTGTCCTCTTGCTCTGCATAATCCTGTCGGGAATGTAAGTATACAATGGCGTACGAATTCCAAATGGTTTGTTCACAATGAAGAGTTTGCAAACAAAAGAGCTTTTGTGAAAAAAACAAAATGCTTGCTCATCCTTTCAATGCATTGATGCTCCCCCTTGAAGTACATTGTAAAGTTGAAGAAAGTCTTGGACTTTTGTTTTTTTTGATCATGTTTCAATCAAGTTTAATAAGACAAATCACCTTAAAAACCAGAGGGAATAATCGAGGTTACAGACTATATTTACTACACTACCAAGGTTATCATAAACCAAACTCAGGTTTTGTATGGTTAACAGTAGGTCATCAGAAAAAGAAAACCTGTCAATGTGGCTTCATTTTTGTCAGGTTTCAGGCGTAGGTTTCTATCTTGTTTCAACACAACCAAGTATATAGTACTTATAATAGATTTGTTACTTCTGCTGATTTGATCATTTTGGCTGAATTTTAGTAAACCCAAAAGGAGAAAAAGCCAACATTTGAAAATATATCTTCATACATCCTTTATTGTTGGAACAATAGTCATTGTACTTTACCTACATAGGCACAGATATTGGCTTACAACTAAAAGTACCATTTCAGATCAAATCCAAAGAGTTCTATTATCGCAATATATGCTTTTTTTTTTCAGCAGGTATTTCTGCTGTTTTATCGCACAGTCTTCTACACTTTACACTGGATTCCCCAAACCAAAATTCAAAAGTGCCTGATTAATTTAAGACACAGAACAGCTTCCTGTGATCATCCAATCCCCAATCGTAATGGTTACAATGAGCCAATTGTAATCCTATACAAACAACTATGGAATTGTTGTGCTCTCTCTTCCTCTGCTCATATGTGTATAGGGGAGAGAGAAAGTGTGTGGGAAAGGAGGAAGGGAGGGAGAGAGAGAGAGAGGAAGGGAGGGAGGGAGAGAGAGAGATGCATTCTACATTGGAACCACTACTTACTTCTGTACATATTGTATTCAAGGAAGTAGCAATATGTCGCACAGGTACCTGAAGACAAGTTGAATATCTATTATGAGTTGGAGAGCTATGTATAGATTGTATAGACTTTTTTTCCCAGCTAGTTTTGCTCAAACTTTCCCAGATGTCAAATTAGAGTCTTTTTTTAGTTATCTTCAGACTTACTTTTGTATACAGTGAATATATAACTTGATAAGCTATTCCTGAAGAACAGAGTGAAGGAACCCAATGCATAAAATGAATATTTTGCCACTCTTCAGAGCAAAACGGCTTACAGAATTAAAATGTTCTGTGACCAGTTTTCCCACTTGCATTTTTAGTTCAAAGTAGCCAGGTGTGACTCAAGTAAAGAATATGCTGTAGATTTCAAAGCTCTTCACTGTTTCCCCTTCCCATTTTCATTTTGTGTGGATTTATATGACAAAGAGACTTACAAACAGACAGACATATGGATGGATAGATTGATGGATAGACGGTCCTTCTTCAACAGTAAAATAACAGCTTGGGAAGATATATTAGACTGAGAAAACAACAGAGAAGGAAAAGTTGGAGTTTTTCTCTCAGTATTGGTTTTTTTCTATTTTTTTATTTTATTTCTGATCCTCTGTCCCTGCTTGGATCTACATCAGTGGTAGGTTCTGGATCCTGTTCCAACCAGTACGGTTGGAACGGGCCCACCCCAGCATCACTTGCATGGACGTGCGTGGCGCGCGGATGCATCGTACCTGCCTGCGACGCCTCCACAAGCCTCTGTGATGCTCCAGCTGTTTGGCGGAGCATCGCGCAAGTACCGTACGGACCATGCATGTGCACGGAAGCGCCAAAGGCTTAAAGGACAATAAGGAGCTCGGGCGGGC